GTTGGAATTAAGAGTATTTCCTCATTGAAAATGCAAAAATTAACTCAAAGGATTAGGACTGAACAGATGTGGATCTTTAGCAAACCACTAATCAGTAGGCTAACAAAAGCTTCATGTGGGACCTGAAAGACAAATACATATTCACAATACTGACTGTTAGATAGCCTGTGCATCCAAGAGATTCTAAAGTGTTGTCTTTCATTTGAGTTGTGTTCTCCTAGAAGAACCGGTTAGGCCCGGTTCTGGTAGAACATGGTCTATTTTAGCGGCTTGTGGAGGCTGTTTCCCATCCCTGTGCCAGTAAAGAGATGAATGTGCTCGTTGTTGAGCTTGCAACCTCAAACTGGGATCTGATTCCACAGGAGAGGAGCCTGATAACTGAAGGATCTGCCTCCCATTCTACTTTTAGAAGCTCTGGGAACCAGCAGTAAACCTGCAGTATGAGCAAAAAGCTGTTAGGAACATATGGACCAATCAGCTCTCTGATGCATGATGGAGTTTGGTTATTTAGAGCTTCTGGGAAATAATTTATTCAGGTTGGTATCAATAAAGCACAGTAGTCAGTCATTTCTACATCAGGTATCATCAGGTCTGTAAACTAAATACAGAGAATTACTGGCTGAGCTGAAATAGCTCAGCCAGTAATGGGAGGTGTTGTTATGAGGAATGTGGTATGTACATCAAAGCCTGGAAATCCTAAATTATTCTTTGAGAGGTTTTGTTTCATGTGTACAAATGCAGGTCTGCAGAGAGCCAGGGCCCCAGCTCCTTATCGCAGAGATTTTGAAGCCAAGCTGCGAAACTTCTACCGCAAACTAGAGGCCAAAGGCTACGGCCAGGGGCCGGGCAAGATCAAGTAAGAACAAGCACTCATCACCTTGTTGTGACCTCAAACTGAAGCTGAAATGCAATGGGATCAAAAGAAGTGCTGTGTTTGGTGTGTTCCCAAAGACTGCTGATACGAAGAGAACACCTGCTGGAGGGAACCTTCAACCAAGTGATGGCATATTCACGCAAAGAGCTGCAGAGGAACAAACTCTACGTCACCTTTTTAGGGGAAGAAGGGTATGCGTTGCTTCGCCACTCCATACAGCTCTGTGTATGTTTCTGAACTGAATATGAGGATGGTCTTTATCTTGTCATCTTTAGATTAGATTACAGTGGTCCATCCAGGGAATTCTTCTTCCTGCTCTCCCAGGAGCTCTTTAATCCATACTACGGTCTGTTCGAATACTCAGCCAATGACACATACACCGTTCAGATCAGCCCCATGTCAGCTTTTGTTGAGAACCATCTAGAATGGTAAGTGGAGCTTTAATAAATTGGGATTTAGGTAACTAAAAACCTTCACTAACTGTTACTAACACCAATAATCTACTATGCAAAAATATTCAAGGTTTAATGTGACAAAACAAAGTAGTACATAATTATGAAGTAGAATAAAAATTTTAAACAGTTTTTAAACATTATGAATAAATTACACAAGCATCCATAAACCCCAAACTGTACTCCTTTTTTAATACTGTGTCCTGTCTTGGTGCAAAACGTATTCCTATTAAGTTGGAACATTGTGTAAAAATAAAAACAGAATATGATGATTTGCAAATACTTTTCAACCAATATTCTATTGAATTTACTACAAAGACAACATATTTAATGTTCAAACAGATCTACTTTATTGTTTTTTGCAAATATTATTTGGATTTTGGTTCATGCGACACAAAGCAGTATCGTGCATCATTAACCTTCCACTCCAAACTGCTGCACTATTTACGTTGGTCTCTCACATAAAATTGTGATGAAATCCATTATGACTTTGTGGTTGTAACACAACAAAATGTGAAAACATTTGAAGGTAAACATTGAATGACGGTCCTCTATACAACACATACATGACCAGTCAGATGTGATGTTGGTGTTTTACTTTGTAACTTCCCTTCTTTATACCATCAAATTACAATTATCTGGATACAAAAACTTTTTCATTTCATCTAATGTGTCTGGTTCAGGTTCCGTTTCAGTGGCCGTATTCTGGGCCTGGCTCTGATCCACCAGTACCTGCTGGATGCCTTCTTCACCAGACCCTTCTACAAGGCTCTGCTCAGACTGTCAGTACAACATCCATGTGTCATTTTGATTCAACATGTACCAATATAAAATATATATGAAAAACTTCCCATTTTTGGAGTTGTAGCAATTCCTCATGGTAGATTTGGAATTTGACAAAGTGATACATGTCAGTTTTTTAACTATCTATTAGAGCTTAAGTATTTATTAAAGAAGCTGTGGAAAGCTGAAAATGTTCATTTGAACTTCCCTTTTTTCCAAGACCACACACATATGTAATGCAGATAGCCCATTGCAGCAGTGTGGACTGTCAGATTGAGCTGTATGTGTCTTGCAGGCCCACAGACCTGTCTGATCTGGAGTACCTGGATGAGGAGTTCCACCAGTCTCTCCAGTGGATGAAAGACAATGACATCACTGATATCTTGGACCTCACTTTCACTGTGAATGAGGAAGTTTTTGGCCAGGTTAGAACACATCTGCCAGCATCAACTAAAATGTATTATGTAAACAACCTTCTTAAAGATATACATCTGTAATCAG